GAGGGGTGAGAGCTGCACTTAGTGGGGGCAGAAGGATGAGTATTTAGAACGCAGTTGGAAATGATGCCGGTTTGGGGGAGTGGCAGCAGTAGTCCCCCTCTAAGATCCGTGACCTCGCTAGCCACATGTGGCTGACTAGGTTAACAGTACCAGATGTGATTTCTTTCCTGTTGAGCAACCTTAAGTCCAATTAGAGAGTTTTTGGTTACTGCCGAAATATAAGTGGTACTGTTGGATTTCTAAGTGTATCCTGCTGTGCTGGCCATTATTGTGACTCATAGGCATCGCAGCTGAGCAGGACTTCTGATTTCTCCCCTTGCTTGTCAGATTACATAGCATCTCTTGGTACTATGAAAGTTAATCTTCAGGGAGAAGGCTTTTGGGTCAGATCCAGCTCAATTTCTCCAGTCCTTCTGTCTGAAATGTGTTGTGTCTTCAGCAGTAGGGACTTCCCTTCCATCTCTGGGAGGTAACCAATGTTGACAACAATAGCCTTTATTGTTCTGGGAATCACTTAGGCTCCCATGATCAACGACTGGAAAGGAGGTTTCTCATGCCTAGCACTGACATTTTTGTTGTATAGTCTATGGTCTTCTGGCACTGTCAGCACAAGTAGCAGAGATAGCTTCATTTTATATATATTTAAATTTTCATATTATATATTTATATGTATAATTATGCATACACAATCATATATATATAATTATGTGTAATTTTAGGTAAACATAAAATGGTATGATTCCTTATGGCTTTTGAAACATCCTCGTGTTCTTTAATACTGAAAATGCTGATTTAAAAAATTGTTTGAGTATCTTTGATCAATTTAAGTTATATATAAATGATGTCTTTGCATATTCTTATGATTTATTATGTTTATTCTTGGACCTTGTGAGGCTAAAGGTTCCACTGCCTGTTCCCAAAAACTCTTTCAGTGAGTGTGGGTTAGTGTTTCTAAAACTTGGGTGCGCCTAAGACTCAACAAAGGAGTTCATAAAAATCCTCCTGCATAGCCTATACCCTAGACTCTGTAAATATTTCAGAATTTGGGGGTAAAAGCCAAATATTAACTCTCCTGGGGATTCTGGTATAAGTGGTCCAAACACTATCATTTAAAAAATACGACTGTCCTTAGCTTCTGGGTATCCACCCCTGAAGGACTCCAAGCCAACTCACACAGAGGTACTTTCACATCAGTGTTGATAGCAGCAGTAGTCACAGTAGCTATGTTATATAACTAACCTGGGTGTGCAACAACAAAGGAAGGATGGGTAAAGTGGTAGATATATATGCACACAGAACTACCCTCAGCCTTAACGAGGAAAGTTATGTCATATGCAGGGTACAGCTGCAGATAATTGTATAAAGTGAATGCATCCTTTCTCAGAAAGGCAGATTCCACAAATATATATCTACTCTCATTTGTGTATCCTAGATTTTATATAGATACATGAAATCATGTATGTATATATGATATGACGATAGAAGCAAAACTGTCTAGAGGTTAAAGAGATTGATGGAGGGGTAGGAGATGGGGGAGAAGTCAGAAGACAGAATCTGATCAACATACAATACATTCTTGAATGAAAATGGCCTTATTTAACACTGGACCATATGTAATGAACACATACATAATGACAACTAAAAATAGATTAAAATGACTGTCAAAAATAAATCATGAAACTGAGCTGTGGACAATCATGATCTATATCCTCTGGTATAAAGGAAGATGCTTGTTAAAACAGGAGTTAAAACAATATGGAATAAAACCATATTTATTTTTTTAAAAAGTTGAAATAGATAAAAAACCCTAACTCTAAATGGCTAAACTTTATATGCTCCAAAAATGAAATTTCTCACCAACAACGCCAGGACAAAAATAATACTTATTGAAAAACAGGAATGATTGAAAGGAGGATTTGTTTTCTGACATCTTTTGATTTCAGGATTCAAATTTATTTTCTTACAACTTTTGAAAATATAATACTTGTGCTTTTTGTTCCCTACACTTTGTATGTTTAATTAAATATTGATCTGCATCTGGCTCAAACCAAAGCTGTTATCTATGATGCCAGGACAGTCTTAAGGTGCATAGTTTCTAGAATAAATTCTGTTTCTTAATTCTCAGCTTTTATTGATTATTTTCTTATCCGAGGATGGCTCTTTTTTTGGATGCTAACCTTAGGTAGAACAGAGTGATGAGCACTGAGATAACCCTGTAGCTCTGCAAAATATAAAGAAGAAAAAGCACGTTACCCATTATTATTGCTGCTGTGAACAGCGTGGTGCTTACATCACAGGGGCATGCAAGTCTTAGCGGAGGGAGCGCGCGACAGATACCCAACCTGGTTGACTGGTCTTGCTTGAGGACCATGAGAGTTTGTTTTATAACCCGATCTCATGGTCTCAAGCAAGACCAGTCCCCTCTCTTTCCCCTCATGATTTCTACTCTACATCCACAGGGCAGCATTCAGTCTTTCAGAGTTCATTTGATAATTAAGAGGTTTTTTCCTTGTGCATGAATGAAGGGAGAGTTCACGGAACTCAGCGATTTGTGCCCAAGCCTCTTATGCTCTACCTCGTTCTCCTGTCCTTGAGACCCCTGTGTTCCCACTCTGTTCCACCGCTGGCAATTTCCTTTTCCCTGTCACTCAAGAGTCTCTCTTCTCTTTCATACTAACAGTAACTAGTCTACTAAATCATAGGAATACTAAATCTAGAATTTTTTCTTCTGCTCTTTCAGGCTGAAACTTATTACCCATTTCAATCATGGGCTCTCCAGCCATGGGACCTCTACTCTCTTTGGACTGAAGATGAGGCGTTTCTAAATAACAAACATTTCAAGAAAGGCTGTTTTATTTCAAAGAATGTTGCATATAAGTGCCCATTACATTAAGCTTCATTATACTTGAACCAGACGTATTTTCTGTCCAGCTGCTAGACTCATTCAATGAAAAAAGGCATTCTCACATCATAAGCATTAATCCATACTTGATCCAGGGAGCCTGATGCTCGGAGCTTTTAAAACACTGTAATTTCCTTCTTCATTTTAAATTGCATGGCATAATTCTGCATTTATAACATAATTCTTTTTAACAGAAACATAATAGAACTGGGTAAAAATTTGATTTTTGTCAGTCATATTTATGTACTTTTCCTCCTTACTCAACTAATACTTATTTAGCATTTGCATGTGTTGGGAATTATTCTCTGTTTTCTTCTTTTTTATTTCTCAGTTTAGATATAACATTCTGGAGTCACAGAGGAAATGGAAGAAGATTAAAGTCACATAAGTTAGATGTGATATTGGAAAGATGGGACAGACACCACAGCAGGAGTATGGAGACGTGTCATGCACCAGTACTTCATATGATTAACAGTCTGTGTCTTGACAAACTTCCCAATCCCTATTTATTGATGTGAACATAGAGAAGACATCGTTCATGGCTAGGATACATTTATCTTAATATTCCTGGGGTCTAGAAGAGACACCAAACTCTATCATAGTGTACTCTGTGTTTGGACTTGGGATGACTGAGTCTAGGAAAGAAAATTGTATCTCCCTGGTTTATTTTGCCGTGATGATGGGATGCAGGAGTCAGGGTGTGCATACACTCCAATTCTTCTTCATTATTAATCTTTGATAATTTCATACATGTATACAGTGTGCACTGGTCAAATGTATCCTCTGTCTCCTCCCCACCTCACCAGCCCCTCTCTTCTGAACTCCTCAACCCACTAGTAAGTCTTTATTTTGTTTTGTGACCCTACTAACTACTGGTGTGCAGTGGGCATGAGTATGGATCTACACTCTGGAGCATGAGCAGCTCATGAGTGGATACACAAGTGGACAACAGCTCTTCATCCCCCAGCCTCCACCAACTGGTAATAGTTCCCCTCTACTGTGGTGATATTTTATTTGTGCTGAAATATGGTGATATTTTATTTGTGCTTTAATAAATAAAACTTGCCTGGAGATCAGAGGAAATACAAGCCATTTTAAGCAAACAAAGAAATCAGGTAGCCGTAGTACACGCCCTTAATCCTACCACTTGGCAGGCAGGGATCTGTCTGGATCTCTGTGTGTTCAAGGCCACACTGGAAACAGAGCCAGGTGTGGTGACACACGCCTTAAATTCCAAAACCAGTTAACCATGGAGTTCTAGAGGTCTGTACAGACAGAGAGGAAGTGACAGAGCTGGGTAGGAAGAGGAAGTGATGTAGCTGAGCAGAGAGAGCAAATCAGATGGCAGAACAGCAATAGGTGTGGGTAAACAGGAAGTTGTGGCATTTTAGAAGCTGCGGAGTTGGTGATGTAAGGTTGGCTGGTGGCTTTCCCTCTTTCCCTGATCTCTCTAAGGCTTTCACCCCAATATTTGGCTCCGTGTTTTTTATTTAATAATAAGACCATTTAGAAATTTATCTACACCCTATTCATAATACAACGATCTGAATCCAGTGCCTTTCATTAGGTTTATTTCTTCTGGAGGAGCTGAAACCAAATATTCTATTCCTGGGGCAAACCAATTTGCAGCCGATTACAGAGGGGCGGGCATTGCTTTGGGCAGAACATGGGAGCAAGGATCAGAGGATTTCCCTCTGCAACCGACTGCAGAAAGCACTTGGTTATTGAATCAAAGGATCACGGCCTCCGTTCCCCGTTTTCTGCCCTGTGAAGCAGAAAGCAGATGCCCGAGAACACCCGATTGCCTGAGGTGTTCTTAACAGCTGTCTGATGACACCGTGTGAATATAATTTGGGAACCCATGTTATTGCCATCACTTGAGCTGCCACTGGAGTCTGTGTGGGTAAAGCCTAGGGAAAGAAAATTCTGCCTGTTATATTTAATCTGTGTTCCTCGTAGTGAGCCTGCGTGCTTGGCAGCATCTCAGTGGCTTCTGTCATCTGGGAGCAGACACCGAAGTGATTGAGGAACTTAGAGTTGGAGCTTAGGATTCCTCTGGGGCGCATCCTGGGGCTTTTCAGCACATCAGCAAGTGAAGCAGAAGAAGTGGGACATGGTGGGCATCCTCATTCAAGATGGGGAAGGAAAACCAGAGATGCTTTCTGTTAATATTAGTTTGGAGAAAACTTGGGCAGTGAAGAGGCCAAGGTAATGCTGGCGATTTTCTGAGATCTGTTGTTCTTGTTCTAGGTTACCCAGTCCACATCATGTCATTCTGGTTTTTAATGAAGTTTGATAAACATTTCCTTACAGTCAGCTGTTGGTGAGTTAGTGGTGGGCTGAAACCTTGATGTTTTGCTAATACAACAAAGTACTTCTTTCTGCTCCCGATTTCTCAGTGTCGAATAGGGAGCTTGGTGTGTATCAATGGTTTGTGACCCTGGTGTGGGCGAGCGAGCACCTTCTGGTGATGGTAGAGACAGAAACCAAAGGAAATATATGAGGATGACTAGTTCTCAGGTTCAAAAGTTCTGATTTATTTGGTCTCTGGTTACATCTAGGAATTGTTCTTTTTAAAAATTCCTACCACCCCATGTGAGTCTAATATATAATGGGTTGAAAAACCACAGGTCTATTGCTAACATTACCTTCAACAGAAGCACTTGAGAATTACTTATCTGCAGTTCCTCTTTCTCTCCTTCAAACAATGAAATTATCAATATTCTGGTCAATTCTCAATTTTTCTTCCTATATATAATATTATAGTATTTCCTATTTGTGTAAACTTTATGTAATGTGTATTTAAGTTCCAAAGTATGGTAGTTATATGAAAAGCCAACTCATTGCCCAGCTTAAGAACTAGACTACAGCCATCGCTATTGAACTCAGGAATGTGTTTCTCTATGACCTCATACCTCTAGAGTCCTTCCGAAACCCTCCACAATACCTAGTGTAAGGGTGTGGGCTTTACCATTCCAGTCCTCTTTACAAATTTTATTGTTACTTTGTGCAATATCATGTTTGGTTTTGTTGGACTTTGCATATTATAAAAACAATACATTTATCTTCATGCTGTTGCACACTTGAAATTCTCATACAGTGCATAGGATGTTTTTTCATGGCCAATGACATTCCCTTTGTGTGAATGTATCACAATTTGATGTAGTTCTTATCTTGATAATGGGTATTTGGTTACATGTTACTACATGCTACTTAATATTATGAATATATGATATTATCAGCCTTCAAAATTTCTGCTGACCTAACATGTGTAAATTATCTTTTAAAAATAACATGTCAATTTTATTTATATGTAAATCATAAACACATAAACAAATATTCAAGGTGTGCAGTGTAGTATTTTGATGCACATATACATTGTGAACTGATTATCACATTCATCATATGTCCACCACCTCATGTAGTTTTCTATTTTGTGTGTGATTAGAGTATTTAAGATCTGCTTCCTGAAATGTCAGGTTTTTGAGACATTATTTTTGACTGTTTTCACCATTCTGTTTATTAGTTCCTTGTAACGTATTCATCTTAGAAGTACAAGTTTATATTCCTTGGCAAAGACTATTTATTTTCTCTCACCTTCCAGCTCTTGTGCATCACTATTCCTTTCTTAGTATCTCTTAGTTTGGTAATTTTTATGTTCTACATGTAGGTCAGATTATTCTGTTTGCCTTTCCTTTTCTGGCTTACTTAGAATAATGTCCTCTAGATCTGTCTATATTTTCACAAATAGTATGATTTTCTTTTTATATGCTGGAATGTGTGTGTGTGTGTGTGTGTGTGTGTGTGTGTGTGTGTGTGTGTGAGAGAGAGAGAGAGAGAGAGAGAGAGAGAGAGAGAGAGAGAGAGAGAGAGAGAGAGAGAGAGAGAAACACAAAAACAAAAATAGTGATTTGTAGGGACCAATGGGGGACATGAGGTGTTAGTCAAAGAATTCACTAATCTGTCAGGGGAGATTTAGAATTTTTCATATTTTGTCTATTGTGAGGCTGCCATGAACACAGCAGTGAATATGTCTCTTTGAGATGGTGATTTTTTCTTTCATATGTACATCCAGAAGTGTGATTGGTAGGTATTTTTGTAGTGCCAATCTTAGTTCTTTTGAGAATTCCCCAGTGTTTCACACAATGGTCAAACCAATTTATATTTCTATGAATATTGTATAAAGATTCCTCTTTTCCCATGTCCACATCATCTGAGGCACTTATCTTGTGACATCTTGATGAGAAGTTGTCCTATCAGGTGTGGAATGATATTTCCTGTCGTCTTGATTTAAATTTACCTGGTGATTAGTGATGGTGAGCTCACTAATTTCCATACAACCATTGAGCCTTTTTGTCTTGGAAGAATGTCTCACCTGGTCCTTTGCCCATTTTATAACAGGATTCTTGCTGTTATTATTGCAGGAACTTCTTGTATATTTTGTGGGGGTTTTGACCTTGTTTTAAGGAAACATTTTAGTTTGATGAGGACCTGTTGGGTTATTTTTGTGTTGTTCTTAGTGCTTTTGTGTCATACCTAAAAATATCATTGAGCAGACACCATCACGGATCTTTGCCTCTGTCTTTTCTTCTACAAGTTTTGTGGATTCATATCCTACATGAATGTCTTTAATTTTGAGTTGACTTTCATGTAAAGTATAGGATTCTGTTTTGTTTCATACATATATAAGGAAAGAAAAAATTACATTTTTATTTTTCATTTTATATTTGTAGATATCATTTTCCCAGCACTACTATTTCATGGATTCTTTAGCTGAGGCTTATATCTGTCTTCATTTCATTCATTGTGGTTTTGAGCTTCTGAATTTTCCTACAGTTCTTCCCTGAAACCCTCTTCTTTACCCCTCTCCTTTCTGTTACTGTGTTGAAAAGAAATTTATTCCCTTATACTTATGAAGATCCATGTCTGAAATGAAGGCTGATGTCAGGGTCATTCTTCTCCAGAAGGTGTTGTTCAAATCTTAGATGGTCTTTTAATAAAAAACTCAGAGCCAGATATCAGGGTGAAAGCTGAAAGATCAGAAAAGCAGAACAGCCAGCCACTAGTTCTTATCTCTGCAAAATCCTCAGTTTCAAGAGAGTGAGTTCCTGTTTTCTCATGCCTTATATACCTTTCTCTGCCCTGCCATATTACTTCCTGGGATTAAAGGCGTGTGTGCTTCCCAAGCAAAGGCATGAGATCTCAAGTGCTGGGATTAAAGGTGTGTGCCACCACATCCTGACATCTATGTCTAATCTAGTCCTCTGATCCTCAGGCAAGTTTATTAGGGTACACAGTATATCATCCCAGAAGGCTTAGACTTTCTTTGATTCTCTCGCTTCACTGTGCTACAGGCAAGTAAGTGGCCAGTGGCTGCTGGGTCTCTCCCATCTCTGTCTCCTCCTTTGTGTGGTCTGTTCTTTTAATAGACCTCATTTGTGTGTGTCTTATAACTACATCGTCACTGGATGGAGAGCCCACATGGCTAATCCAAGGTGATGTTATTTCGGGATATTTAATTAAATCTCTTAAAATCTTTGTTTTTATAATGTTCACACCTGAAGGTTATTATGGGCAAGATTCATATATGCTATTTTGAGCCATCATTAAACCCACTAAAAACATCATATTCTGGAGACTGAAGGGCTATGATCTTCAAATATTCCAACATTAAGAGGGCATGCATAAAGTACATACTTTGAATAGGAGTGAAAATGCCTTAAAATAATACATAGCTTATTTATAGAGTACTTGCCTTGTATACTCAAGGCTCAGGCCTTGATTCATGAGATTGGGAAAAAAAAGCATTTAGGAGGACTACTATTTTTATTAAAATAAAACAAAGAAGGAAATAAATTGTAGTTGCTGCTTATATGTGCCGTGCATCTCACGTTGACATGACCCGTCTTGGAGTTTGTTTTCCATTGCTTGTACTTCATTCCTTGCCAATTTGAAAATGAGGCTGTTTAGGTTTTTGCTCATGTTGTTAGCCAATATGTGATTTAAGGAGATGTTAGAAGACTGTTTTGTTTGAAACTGTGAATGTTAAGCAAATTCTTCCTCCAGCATTCTATGCTTATTTCCATCATGTCTGTTTTCATCAATTTGATTGAAATAAGTGCCTGGGTTTTTCCCAGTGTTGTCCTGGGGGCATACAAATCGTGGCTGCCCCCAAGCACTGATACTGACGTTAGAAGCACTGCTCTCTGAGGATCACTGACTTCCAGGTTCCAGTTATCTGATGCTGTCATGGGGCCAGTTTAAGTCTTCTCTTCTTCTTTTTAAGGCTTTGGCTAAGCTAATCACCCCCTGTATTCAGGGAGAGCACGTGGTGGTTACCAAACAAGAAGGGGGAGCGTTACAGAGCCATTTGGTTTGATTTCCTGCCCACAAGGAGACAAATGCCTTGTGTAGGCCAGTCCGATCTTTGCCAGCAAGGAGAAGAGCTGTAAATAGTTCAGTCCTCTGCTTGTCATTTTTATCTGTGTACAGTTTTCATTTGTTTCTAATTGATTGTTAAAATAGAATTGAAAATGGCATCAAATGCGTTAGAAATAGAATTTAATATAATTATTTACTATTAAAATTTTTAATTTCTATCTAATCTCCTGTAGTTTTGTCTTATGTTGTTGGTAAACTTCAAGTCTTTCCACATTTTCCCTGTCAGAGTCACTGCTTAAGGCTATTTCAGGTAGAGGGTTTCCCATGGCTGAGTTTTCACCAGCTTCCCCTTCTACAGCATCTGCATTGAAGGTCTGAGCAGGAGCAGTGCTAGGGGACCTTCAGCATATCCTAGGGAAAGGGGCATTGTCCTCTTCTTAATTTCATTTGAGAGGAGGAGCTTTCTTCAGTGATTACATGTTTGTCATAGAACAAGGGCTATGAAGAAGTCACTAGAGTCTAAGTGGAAAAAACTGTAAGCATGCAGCTATCTTAGAAAGGTCATGAGACTTCAGAGAACAAAGAGCTCTGGTGCCCTCCTGGATGACTCCTCTGGAATCCTGATGTCCTCCTGGATGACTCCTCTGGAGTCCTGATGCCCTCTTGGATGTCTCCTCTGGAGTCCTGATGCCCTCCTGGATGTCTCCTCTGGAGTCCTGATGCCCTTCTGGATGACTCCTCTGGAGTCCTGATGCCCTTCTGGATGACTCCTCTGGAGTCCTGATGCCCTCCTGGATGTCTCCTCTGGAGTCCTGATGCCCTTCTGG